CCCCCCCCACCCTTTCAAAAATTTCTCCACAGCCCTCTGGATACAGTCCGTATTATTTTCAAGACATAAAAAGCCCATTATAATCTGACATTAGACCGCTTTTCCAGCCTCATCTCTTGCTACTGTGCCCCACACCCCTCCCTTGTCAAACCAGCTTCCATTCCTTTTGGTAAAACAACAGAGTCATCCTCTTGTTCCGTATTTTATCTTCAGCGTAGTGCCCAGCACAGAGGCACTCAACTACTTAGGAGCTAATAGTCATTTGCCCTTGGCTCGAAATTGCCCTTGGTTCAGAAAATATTGTAGACTTTATCAGAGTATTTTTAACAGAAATGTAATCGATATTTGTTGTGCAGAATACAGAAAAGTTGAAGGAAGGCTATGACACCTGCAATTTTACCAATAAGGAATAGACCTGAAGATATTTTCATGTAGGTCCTTTTAGTAATTTTTGTAAAGAACGTTTCTGCTCAGCATCTCTGTATCGTTTAATAATCGCCATAATACGGCCTGGTGCCCATGTGACATCCTTCTGTCCTGTTTTATTTCTTTGCTGGTTCCTCCTATGCTGCCAGCCCCCTAAATTATGGTGTGTTGAGACAGTCTAGCCTCGCCCCTCCTGTTCTCTCATCCTACATGCTTTCTGTTAGAGTGCTCTCGCCTACACCCAGAGCTTTAGAAATCACTCTTTGGCGATAACTCCAAAATCTATACCTCCTGAGCTCTGGGTGCATTTACCTTCAAGATGTTCCTTGGGTGCAACAAATTATTTATGTCCCAACTAAACCCATACCATTTTCCCCAACCACCTTGTATTTTTTACTTCATTAACCAGCCAGGAAACTGGGAAGCATCACCAACTCCCATCTTTCCTGAGTCCACGAAACTTCCTGGGGCATGGGTATCATTTCTAATTTCCAGGCCCCTAAACCCACAAAGCATAGAATGGATTTCACTCTGTTTTTATGCTCTTGAAGACATGTGATTGCAGACCCAAGATGTAAATATGACCCCCAAATCCACATGGTATTCGTATACAGGGTCAAAAAATATTTTTAGCCTTTTGATGAGATGCATAGAGTCATAAACCTCTGTGGAAAATGAATCAATATAGCACAATATAACCATTTTGAAAATCTCTGGGAAAAGTAGCTTTTGCCACGCCAAAGAAATCTGACCAAAGGTCTGATATAAAGCAATAAATGTTGTTTGAGCAGTCTAACATAATGAAACGAGAGTGAGGTGTGTTTATGTCTCACCTGTGGATTGGAACATCCTAAGATCATCTGTCTGGATGCACCAGGACTCATTTCAAGGGACTCGAAAAAGGACAATGATGACTTGTCCATACAGCAGTCGATCTTTCCATGAATGAAACTTAAAGATACAGTCAAGGTTAACCTTTCTCAAATGGGTTAATTTACTTGTTCTAATAAATGAGACTAATTTGATAAAATAATTGTTTAAGTAACGAATATTTATTGAGTGCCCAAAAACTCTTCTTGTGAATGTAACAAATGAAAATCTCTGCCATCCAAGAAGTTTTATTACAGTCCAGTAAATTGGAATGTTAATTTCCATTGTATCATCCTAGTAATGGCACGGACATCACCTCCAGCTATTATCACAGTCTTTAGAACTGTGCGTTAAAGTTACAACTATAGGCTATGATGGCATGCTAACTAGAGGGCTAAGTATTTAGAGCTGTGATTAAATCAGTTCCCCGCCCCCACCCCCACCCCTGTAACTCTGTCAGTTGATGCCCTAATTTTTCCCGCAGTATCTCGGGTACTACTGTCCTGGCCCCCAAGACTCTTTTGCATGCTGTTAGAATTCAGCAGAGGTTATAAACTCATGGAAAATGAGTGTTCTGCACTTGCCAGAGCAGTTGCCCAATACAAAGCCATGGATTATAGTTCTGCGCTGCAAAGAATATCATTGTGAACTCCATGTTGAATAAACAATACAGCCATGGTAGATTTGAGTTGAAACAGTAGAACTGCAAGGATGTTGAAAAAGCCATCTAAGTTCAAGGATCAGAAGCATTAAATTGGAGAAATTCTTGACTACTGTATTACCTCATGTAGTGGTTTTTTTTTCCATTTTACTAGAAACTCTGAAATGAGGTTCATTTGTTGCAATTATTCTCTGAAAATCATGAATTTCAATTGAGTAATATATTGCCCAATCCTTAGTAATAAATATTAATTTTGTCCTGTTCCTCTGGTGAAATAAGGGAAGAAATACTCTTTAAATGTGCCAGGATGTGTGTGTGTGTGTGTGTGTGTGTGTGTGGTGGGGGAGGTGGGTACAGGGAGGTAGAGATGAGTTTCTCTTGTCCAAAAGCAAAGCTTTCAGCTTCAAAAACTTCATAATTTTTTTTTTTTGCTATCATTTCTCAGTCTTATTCCAAATGGCTTTGAAATATTCATTATGTCTCTAAGGTGATAAACTATAAAGTAGTGCTTTCAAAGTCAGAAGGGAAAAGTGCCTATAGCCTTGCCTTGAGAGTCTTTAGAAACAATTACTGTAATAGTTTCAAGAATGAAAAGTATTTCAGAGACTTCCCTGGTGGTCCAGTGGTTAAAACTTAGCTTCCCAGTGCAGGAAGTGCTGGTTCAATCCCTGGTTGAGGGGCTAAGATATCACATGCCTCCCAGGGCCAATAAAACCAAAATGTAAAAAAGAGGCAATATTGTAACAAATTCAATAAGGACTTTAAAAATGGTCCACATTTTTTAAAATCTTTAAAATTTTTTTTAAATATTAAAAAAGAAAGAGAAACAGAGATCTCAGATCCCAAGGAACCAGGAAAAAATAAAAAGCAATTATTTCAAACAAGAGCTGGAAATAAATTTCCAGTTTGTAACATAAATTGAGCAAACCACAAAATTCACTGAATCTGAGTTTTTGAAGAATCTTCTGTTACAGCTTCCACCACTTTTCTGTACGCTCCTCTCACCAGCGTGTGACTCTTGATGATATTCAGTCTGTTCTCTTTGTCCCCCCAGCTTCTGGGGGGACATATAAGAATATATAAGGACATATAAGAATACACCTTATTCTATTTGAAAATGTTTGGAAATTTGCCAATCAGAAAGACACAAGAGTGTCATAAAACAAAGGACAAAGAGTATTTTTAAATAGTCTTATTACTTCCTCAAAAAGTTACATCTCCACTACATCCAAAAGGTGCACGACATTTCATACATACAGCTCTTGATGTTGCCTCCTTCGCCTTAGATGCACCTCCAAGACATATAGCTGTGTTCTGGGTAAGAATAAAAGGAAGCCCTGCTCTCCCAGAGCTTACATTCTAATGGGGATGATGTCAACACAACCAGACCAATCAGATAGTTACAGATTTGTATCCGTGTGCTGAGAGAAACAAGTCAGACCTTTGACAGAAAATACTGGGGGGCCTATTTGTTTCCTGGGGTACCACAAA